TACAAATATACCTACATATATGTAATACACACACACACTGCCACAAGCACCCACTCCCTACAGAGTAGCCTCTATAAAAACTGTCAAGGGGTTAAGGCCTTAAAGAAATCTGTAACAAGGTGATATATATACTACCTGCAGCACTTCAAGATAATACACAAATGTGAAGCTAAAACTACACGTTAAGAACTATAAACACCAAGATCACACAACAATGTACAAACCACATAATTCACATAATACAGTATAATAACGCTGTAAGAACATAATGCCCAGACCCTCTCAGTCTTGCATCCTACGCAGGTCAGGGAGACCTGAAGAGGCCTTGATCATAAAACCAAACAACTCTGAAGTATCACTGGGGCAAAAAAAAAAAAAAAAAAACCCTTACGAAGCAGAAAGATAGCCTGTATAGTCTGTAAGACTAGGCAAACTAGGTTTGCAGGGGGATTTAAAATTTTAAAAAAAAAAAAAACATTTTCAGAGAAGATGTGACTTAACAGTACAGAACTTGCCTGCCCTATGTCGGGAGGCCGGCCTGAAAATTCCCTAAGAGTTTATAAGTGCACCTCAGGCAAAACAGTGATATTATTAGATAATCCTTGCCCTGAGGAAGCCTATAATCCACTTAGAAAAACAAAAGAAACACAAGGAATTCAGCATTACAATCTAAAGGCACCAAACACAACCAAAAAAGAGTGAAGATAAAGGGTCCAAGTTTCTGGGGGAAGTGACTTGGAGTTGAAGTGAATCTGAAATTATTTAAGTGAGGCAAAAGTGCGGGTCAAAATAAAGCAGGCAGTTAACCAGAAGTCAGGATGAAATGCAATAAGCAGGTTGCTTACCAACAAGACATCAAATTAAATTACCTCAGCAAATGGGAAAATAAAGGGCCAATTAGTATCACATTTGCACACAAAGATGCTCACCCATCCACTTAAGAGTAATTTTTTTCAAAGACTCCCTAGGAATAAACAAAATTCAGGAAAGTTCCCCTCTGTAATAGCAGTTTGACTTTAGGAAGACATTTTCAAGGGCTGGAGAGACAGTATAGCAAGGTCACCTGCCCAACACAGGACCCGGTCAGGTTCAGTACCTAGAGCCCCAAACAGTCCCCTGAACACTGCCAGGTGTGGCCCCAAAACAAAAGTCATCTTCATAAGCACCACAACCAGGAATAGGTAATTTGTTGGTAATTATTTGGTTTCTCTGAATCAAAGAACAAATTTACTCTTTAGGATGCAAGGTGAAAAATTATCTAACCATGCAGAGGATACTCCTGCCCCCAATCTAACAAAGAAAATGGGGAAGGGTATGAAATAGATGCCTGGCATGAAGGAAGCCCAAATTCAATCACCAGCACCCTATAGTCCCCAAGCATCACTAGAGCAAACCCTGAGCACTGGCAGCTGTGGCCCACAAACCAACTGAAAGAGGAGAAAACTGGCCTAAGCTCCATTTACCAATTCAGCAGCAATTTCCAATGACCAAGTGCCGGAACTCCCTCTCTCTGCCCGCCAACAAACCACTGATGAGATGCTGTAGTTCGTTCTCAGGACCTCAAAATGGCTATGGTGTATTTCTTCTTAACCTTAAAACTTTTCACCTATTTAGCAGTTCATTTTACATCTATTTAACAGGTTTTCAATGTCATTACCTCAGGGTATCCAGGGTGCACCACCCCCCCCCTTCATGTGTTAACCAGATGATCTATATACATAAAAAAAAATAAAATCTAACAAAAATGGAAACCAGATAGGGCAAGGGAAGAGCTCAAGGTCACACAGCCACTAACTGGCAGAGGTGAACACACAAGTTACAGCTCTCTTCTTTGCTAGAATAAAGACCTTAAAACAAACTCTACAAAAGCATAATTTTGGTCATCTTACAAGTTAGATTAAAAAAAAACATTACTTTGCAGGTGAAAGCACTGACCCAGCAAGGAGCTAGATCCTTGGTCCTTTTCAAAAACATAATTATTCTACTTTAATATCCTCTGGAGTGCTAATTGCCAAGTGTTGTAAAACTTTCAGGAAAAAAAATGCAAATCTGAATTTGAAAACAAAAATCCTGTTCAGCGCAGAGATCAGAATAGCAGCTGAGCTCAACTTAAAAAAAAAAAACACAACTCCTGAAAACCCTAGGAGTGACAAGAAACAATGATAATCTTAATTACAGTTCAATTCTTATGGATATTGGCACTTTCAGAGAAGGGCAGATGTGGACAAAGCCACTCACCTCCAGCCAAATGAATGTGCGCTCTAAAGCTTAAAATTAAAAAATAAAAAAAAGAACAGCCCCCCCCCCCAAAAAAAACCCTCCCGAACCGGTCTCACAAAGGATATAAAAGCCACAGAGGTTCAATATTCCTAGAGCTGAATATGGAAAGAGAGATGATTAATAAAAAGATTAGAAATCTTGCTTACTCTCAGGCTTCACACTTAATTTAGATCTCTTTGCACGCTGTAAATATGACAATAAGCCTCCATAAAAAAAAAAAAAAAACCTCCTGCATTTCATTGTCTGGCAACCTCTGCCAATTCTCTCCCCAGCCCCGGCTGCGAACCGCCCCCCACCACCCCGAATAAATGCGACATACACAAGGCCTCGCAGATCGGCCTCTTTTGCCTTTTTTTCCCCCAACAACTGGGACCTTTGTTCCCCGCGTCGGTTTGCCACCCCACTCAATGGCTCTTTCAACTTTCCACCTCGAAATTTGGGGGGCCAGGGGCTGGGGGCTCGGCTGCGGGAGCGGCGGGATGGCGAGCCTCGACCTCCCCCCACCCCGCGTCCCTCCGCGACGTCAGGCCAAATCCACCTGGCGGGCGGCGGCGACCGGGCCGCGGAGCTGCCCCGCTCAGGGGCCTAGAGCGGCGGGCGCAGCCCGGGCATCGGGTGATCCGGCGGCCCGCGGGGCGGCCGGGCCGGGCAGGGCGCGCGGGGCGGCCGGGCCCGGGGTCCCCGGTCCCCGCCAGCTCCCCACCGAGCGCCGCCACGACCCCCGGCGCCGGGCTCGCAGCTTCGGCGCCGCCTTCCCTCCCCACCCCGGTACCCCCCCAAAAAAAAAAATTGCCGGCGGCAACAAACAAACAAACCCGTCTGGGGGCGACGCCGCCCCTCCGGCTCCCCGCGCCCCGCACAAGGGCAAACCCCGCCCCGGGACCCCCAGCAGCGGGGCCGAGGGAACGGGTCTCCCCCCCACCCCCACCCCCACCCCCCAGGCCAGGGGTGTTTTGTTTTGTTTCCGTCTTTCCTCACATTTTTTTTGTTTTGTTTCTGTTTTTTTGGCCTCCAGCACCTCCGAGATTCCGGTGGTCCCGAGGGGGCCGCCCGGGAGGGGGCGGGAAGGGGGGAGGGGAACTCCCCCTCCAACTTGTTTGGAAACTCGAAGCCCACTCACTCGGGGCGGCGGGGGAAGGGGGCCGAGGCCCGGAGGTTTTACGTAACCCGCAGGGACACACACCAAGGGCCCGGCCGGCTCGCGACGCTCTCGCGCCTGGAGTGACAATCGGGGCCCCCCGCGCCCCCCCCCCCCGAGAGCGGGACGACCCCCCCCACACACACACACCCGGCCTCCTTCTCCCCCATCTGCAAGGATGCTCCGCACGGCCAAGTTTCGCCGCCCGCCCCCAACTCCCGGGGTCGCCGCCCTCCCCTCGGCCTCAACTTCCCCGGCTCCGAAAACTGCCCGGGGCCGACCCCCGTCCCCGTGCCCCGGCCGCGCCCCCGAGCAGGCAACCCCCGCCCCCCGCCCTTACTGTGCGCTGAAGTCACTCCGGCCTCTCCCTCCGGCTGACCCTCGCTGCCCACAACTGTTGTCACCCGAGCGGCTCCCTACTTTCCATTTCCGGGCCGGCCCCGGGCCCGGAGCCTCCCCTCGCCCGGTTTCCGGGGCCCCCATCCCATTTCCGGGGAACCCTTGGCCGTCCTCACACCCCCCACCTGCACTTCCGGCCCCCCACTTTCCCTCTTCCTAGACGCCCTCCGGACTCCGGCGCCCACTTCCGGCCCCCCGACGACCCCCTCCCCGCCCCCCCCCACACACACATACACACACTCGCACCCCTCACCCCAGGTTCCGTGAAGGGTCCTCCCCGGCGCGGGAGGCCCGGGCTGCGGGTTGGGGGTTCGACCCCTGCGACCCCCCCCCCCCCCACAAACTCCGGCCGCGAGCGCGTCGCCCCTCCACCAACCCCCGGCCCGGTCCTTCCGCGGCCGCCGCCGGAGCAGGCCGAGCGGGGACCGAGCGCGGCGCTGACACACACACACACACACACACACACGAACCGGCTTCCTGGGACTTTGGGTTCCAGCTCCTCCTCCTCCTCCCACCCCTCCTCCCCACGGCCCCCTTCCCCCTCGGGCCGGGCCGCGGCGCCCCCAATTACCTAGTTAGGCCCCAAAGTCTGCGGTCCGGACTCGGTGGCGCGGCGGCAACTTCCAACTCGCTCCCCCCACCCCCCTCCCCCGGCGGCGGCGGCGGCTCCTCGGGTCCCTTCAATTATCAGCTGAGCCGCAGCACCGCGCCCGGCGTGTGCCTCCGCCGCCCGCGCCGCCTCCCTCCCCGCCCGTTCCGACCAGCACCGCCCCCGCCCCCCCCACCCCACCACCACCAGCAGCAGCCGGCCGGGAACTACTTTGCCCTTCGACTCGGGCCGCCCGAGCAGCGCGCTCGTCCGCGGGACGGGCCCCGCTGCCTACTCGCGGCCCATCACATCGCTCCTCCCTCCGCCCCCCCACCGTCCGGCTCCACTCCCGCGGCGGCCGGCGCTCTCCTCCCGGATCCCTTCAAGGGACCAGGAAGGGGAATGGGCCGCTTCGCTCCGGGTATCCCTCCGCCGGGGTCACCCCCTCCCCCTCCGTGGTCGCAGGAACTAATTCCCCCTCCCCGTGGGGGTTACCGAGGGGTGGGGGGGGCTGCCGGCGGCGACTAGCTCACGGATTCGGGGGTCCTCCGTGACTCTGGGACGCGGGGAGGGGGGGGGGACGGTCACCCCCGAGCGAGGAGCCTCCCGGCGGCTCCCAAGCGGGCTTCGAGTTAAACTAGGGCTTTGGCCCCATGACCCCGACCAAGCCCCGCCCCTTCCTGGTTGTCTTAGCGACGGCGGTGGCGTCCCAAGATGGCGTCGTGGCTGCCGGAGACTCTGTTCGAAATCTTCCGACAAGGCTCGGCGCCGAGCAAGGACTATTACCAGGTGTTGGTCACCCGGTCTCAGGCAAGTGCGAGCCGCGGTCTACCTTCTCCCTCTCTCTCTCTCTTTCTTTCTGTCTCTCTCTCCTGTCTCCCCGGCCCGCCCCGGTGGCGCGCGGGGAACGCGAAGCCGCGCTAGGCCGGGAGCGGCCCGCGGCCCGCCGGAAGCGCCGGGCCCCGGCTCCGAGCCGAGAGAATTTTCCCTCGTCACCTCGGGCCTCCCTGGGCCGGCCCGGAGGGCGCCCCGCGCGTCGCTCCCCTGCCCCTGCCCCAGCCCCGGCCCCGGCCCCGGCCTCGACTCGTCCCCCCTCCGGCGAGCCTCCCCTCGCCTCGCCTCGGCCTCCCCCGCCGCGCCGCCGCCGCCCGCTCCGCGCTCCCCGCCGGCCGCCTACCCGCAGAGTTCTCTCCGCGCGAAGGGGGACAAACGGGCGGCCCCGGCCTGGCGTGCGGCCGCCCTGGGCGTGAGCGGCGACACCAACTGTCCCGAGGCGGCGCCGGCGGCGGCGGGGAGGGGAGCCGGGGCCGAGCTCGGGCCCAGGGTAGGACTTGGACGCGGACGGGCGGGCGGTTTTTTTCTTTTTTTTTTTGTATTTTTCCCCTCCCCCTCCCCCTCCCACTCCTCCCACTCCTCCTCCCCGTCCCCGATCTCAGCTGGGACCTCTGGCGACGGGCTGCGCCCCCGGGAGCCGCGGGCGTCCCGTCCCCTTCCCCGTTACCTTGTCGGAGCCCCTCTTCCGTCCCATGGAAAGTGTGCGGGGTGGGGGGCGGTGCGCGAGTGTCGGGGCCGCTCGGCGCGTCGGCCCCACCCACAATGACATCGGCTCGGCAACAATAAGCCGGAGGACCGGGTTTCCGCCCGGCAAGTAACCGTCGGCCCGGCCGTGCGACTCCGGGGTGCTGACGGAGGTGGGCTCGGGGGTTGGGGGGGGGGGGCTGTCACACACACACACACATATATATATATACACACACCGCCCCCCCACACACACACACAGCTACGAACCAGTGCCCCGGGGCTTCCGCTCGGACCCGGGCTCGGGGGTGGGGGGGTGGGAGGGGAGGCTGAGCCGGATACCTGGCACTCCGCCCCCCACCCACCCACCCCCCCACCCCGGGTTTTAGGAGAGGTTGATTAAATGAAATGTCGAACTTTGTGTCTCTTTGCTTGGGGACAGATATTTTGGCCGTTTTTTGGTCCCCACCCCCCGCCCCCCGGGCACTGTCGTAAGTCGCGGAATTTTTTTTTTTTTTTTACAGTTTGCAAACAGCATTTTTAAAAGCAGAAATGACGGGGGTTGGGCGAGGTAAACCCGATGATGGGAAGGGAGGGACACAGGCGCTGTGGGCACGAGGCTCTGGGTTCGAATCCCGGCACCGATCCCCGAAAAACCCCGAGGTCCATCTTATATTGAAAATCTGAGATTTATTAACTGCTGCGAGCAGGGCAGGACAGCCCGGTCGCAAAATTTCAATTAAAGTCCTTTTTTTTTTTTTTTTGACGGAATCTACACCGTCGGGGGTTTCTGGAAGTGCCTTTCTTTTAAGGACAGCTTTTGGGAGGAGCGTTCTTTGCACTTGGTTTTTAGAAGTAGGAGCCGAGCCTTTGGGCAGTTTCCTACACGGCAGGTCAACCAAAAGCAACATTGTCTTCCCAGATCCTTAACTCTGTGTTGGCATCCACCTCCAGTAAGGTGACACATCGGTGCTCCGCTTTCGAAAAATCCAAGATTTGTCTACTTAGATGCCCGGGAGATAGTGCGGTGAGAATTGCCTTGCCCTCCGCGCTGCCCACGCAGCTATAACCCTGGCACCACGTACGTTGTTCCGTAAGCCCAGAACTCTGCGTGGGTGTCCCACAAAAGTACCACAGAGGTTCCTATAATTGGTCTTTAAAAAAAAATTTTTTTTAATTCAAAAATTCTTTTTTTTTTTTTTGAGAATCTGGTATTAACAGCTCTGCCGGAATCTAATGTCCTGAGCCATACCAGTCAAATACTTGTTTATACCCGAGTAAGTTAGCCATCCCTCCTGGGATCAGTTTCCCCAAGAATGCCTCTGTTGTTGATGATGTTCTTCTTTGCTCGCTGGTGGCGCTGGGGCACTTGGCGTTCCTACTGCTTCAAATGAAATCCTTTTTTTTGTTGTTGTTTTTCTTTTCTTTTGATTTTCTTTCTGTGTGTGTTTTCACAAATCAAAAACCCTCCTTAATGTGTCCATCCCTAGGCTCTCTTCTTCCTGTCACTTGCTTGGATAGAGACTCCTTTTCAAAATCTGATCCTTTTTTTTTTGTAAGCAGAACTAAATATATTCACTACAGTTCTACCCTGTTGGAGTTTGTCTCTAGTCTGATTAATTCACTCTTTCTAAAGTAAAATTTGTAAGTAAAAAATAGTAAGCCCAAAAAATTCTTTGCAGTCAACCATTTTGAGAATATGCTATTTTCTAACCACAAGATAATTTTTCTAAGTCTCAGCACAGGAAACCAAACAACCAGTAAGAGGTGGTCTGACATAAATAAGTACTAAAAGACTAGAATTAAAATGTGTCTTATAAGATGCTCGTTTTTCTAGAGCAACTTTCTAAAATTAACTTGTGCTTTTTTCCCCTTCTCATTTGCTGCCATTTTTCTCCAAAATGTTTATTATCCAAAATATGCCCAGTGTTTTATATATGGCTTCTTCCTTCTCTTGATTCCTTCATTTATCGTTTTTCACTGCTTTTATTTTAGTTATTAATCCAAATAACTGCACATTTGGCATGGATTTGAGGGTAGATAGCCATCTCATTAATATCATTCATATCACCGTTAGCATAGTCCAGAATTAAATGCATAATGTATGTAAATATTTCCTTTGTTTTCTTGCTTGTTCTGCTACATTAAAAATTTATTTTTAACACCAGGGAGATCCTGTAGTCAGAGGGCCACCGTTCATCTTTGGCATGCGGGATGCCCGCATGACCTGAAAATAAAAATAAAAGTACATGTAGAGAACCAGGTAGATAGCTCAAAGGTCTTGAGCACATGCTTGATTTAGTCACCCTGAGTTTGACCTTTGGTGTCATATGGTCCCTGGAGCACCACTGGGAGCAGTGACACCCTCCCCTCAAGTACTGCTGGGTGTGGCGTGCATGGTGGGAGGGAGGAGGATGTTAATAGAGGTCTTCCCACTTAATGTGATGAGATTATGTTTTGTTTATTTGGGGCCACACCCTGTGACTGCTCAAGGTTTACACCTGGATCCATGCTCAGGGATAACTTCCATACCCAAGGGACCATATGGGGAGGGTGGGTGCCAGGATCAAACCCCCAAGACATGCCATGTGCAAGACAAGTGCCTAACCTGTGGTAGCACTTTCTCTCCAGCCCAAAGTGTTTTTTCTTTTTTTTTTTCTGAAAACTACTGAAAAAAATAGAGGTTGGGATCAATATATTTTAGTTCTCAGCTCTTAGACCTGCCCACACGGCATAGTCTGGCAAACTCCCCGTGGCGTACCCAATAAGCCAAATACCAGTAACAATGATGGGTCTCATTCTCCTAACCCTGAAAGAGCCTTGAATGTGGCACTTTTTAGAATCTCAGGGCTAGGACAAAGGAGACGGTACTGGTGCCTGCTCAGGGCAATCAGACAAACAACAGGATGATTGTGATTGTGATCTCAGCTCTTAGAAAATTCGGTGCCCTGCTTTCTAAATAAAAAATGTATCCAATCAAGGGCTGGAGACAGTCCCCAGGGTAAAATGCTCGCCTTGTATGCTGCCAACCTGGATTCAATCCCCAGCACCATGTATCATCCCCCAAGCAGCGAAAAGCCAAGAGCAAGCCCTCAACGCTGCTGAGTATGGCCCAAGAAATAACAAAAAAATTAATTATTTGTGGAGGGTTTTTTGTTTGGGACCATTCCTGGCCCTGAGCTCAGGGATCATTCATTTCTAGTGGGACACCAGATGTTTGGGGGGGAGGATGAACCACATGAGGTGCTAATGATTGGGCCTGCGTTGGCAAGTGCCTTACCTGCTCTACTGTCTCTCTGAGCCAACTGATCCAGTTATTCTCCAGTTTAGCTTGGGGATTTGGGATGGGGGGGGGGGGGATTGGTGATTTGTTTTTGTTTGGTGTGTTGATTTTTGGTCCACACCCAGGATACTCAAGACTTACTTCTGGCAGTGCTCTGGGATGCTGGGGATTGAACCCAGGCCGGGCCATGTGGGAAGCAAGTGCTTTACCCACTGAACCATCTCTCCAGTCTCCCATTATTTTCTAGTTTCAGTAGTATGTATATTTTCATTTATTGAATTCTAATCATGTTTAAAATAGTAGCTTTATAGTATGTTAGGACTGTCAACATTATTGAGTCTTGTTTAAGCCAAGGATATTTCACAATTGGCCTCAAGGGAAGTCTTAAGTTACGTTTCTGACTAAGGAGCCTTTCCTTATTCATTATTTGTTTTGTTTTTGTGTGGGGGGCCACACCTGGCAATTCTCTGGGCTTGCTCCTGGCTCTACGTGGGTGCGCAGAAGACCACATGGGATGCTGGGGATCAAACGCGGGTCGGCCATGCGCAAGACAAGTGCCTTACTCATTTTGTATGTTTGATTTGCAGTTTCCCATTTGTCTAGCAGTGCTCTCGGTGCAGTGCCAGGGCCTGGGGGTACACGGCTGCCCAAGCCCTGCAGGCTCCCCCCGCTGTGCCCCTGCTGAGCTGTACCGAGCAGTGCCCACACTGGGCCAGCAGCCTCCAAAGTGAGCGCCTGAAGCTCTGAACTGTCTCTCTAGCCCCCTTTCCTTGTTTTTAACCAGCAACTTGGCACTTGCTCTGGAGATGGGACTTTCGAGAAGAGGCCTGCCTCTTAGCAGCATGTCACTCAGTGATTCTGATGTGCCGGGCGCTGGTCTAGCTGCATAACCTCGGTGAACCGAAGGCCCCTCATTAAGCAGATCATCTGCTCTGAGAACAGAGTTAGGACCTAATTTATGCACCCAGTTGAATGCTCGAACTTTGGGGTTTGGGCTTTTGGTTTTGGG